TGCTGCTGCAGCTGGAAGTCTCCCGAAAGGCTGGGAATGTCCCACGGGGAGGCCCCCGAAGAGGTGCAGCCAGAAGCTGTTGTGCAAGTACCCGACAGCAGGTCGCCTGTGGGGGCCCCCCCCAGCTTTGCTGCTGCAGCAACTGCTGCTGCTGCTGCTGCTGCTGCACCTGCAGCAGCAGGGGCCTCCTCCCCGCAGCCAAATGGCCGACTCTCCTGCTGCAGTCCCCACTGCCAGCTGCCTTCGCTCAGGCGGGGGCCCCGGGGGCCCCGGGGGCCCTGGGGGGCCCCCCTAAGGAGGGGGGCCCCCCCTCCTAGGGGCCCCGAAAGAGGGGCCCCCAGGCCCTCAAAGGGGGCACGGCGTTCCTGTGCTGCTGCTGCTCCAAGTTTGCTGCTGCTGCTGCTGCTGCTGCTGCTGCTCTTGGCTCTGTAGGAGGGGAGGTAGCTGCTGCTGCACGCACTTGCTGCTGCTGCTGCAGCGCGCGGCGTGTGTGCGCCCGGAGAGATCCCCTGGGCAGCAGCAACAGCAGCAGCAGCTGCTGCAGCAGCGCCGCTGCCACAGTGCAGATAGCGGCTTCCTGCTGCAGTGCCTGCTGCTGTTGCTGCTGCTGCTGTTGCTGCTGCTGCTGTTGCTGCTGGAGACGACGAGCGAGGTGTCCGTACACCTGAAATGAAAGCTGAGCTGCGCTGTCTCTCCTCCAGGGGCTGTTGCAGCAGCGCAGCACCCGAAGCACCTGCTGCTGCAGTTGCTGCTGCTGCTGTTGCTGCTGCTGCTGCTGCTGCTGCCGTTGCTCCTGCTCCAGAGGAGACACTTCTTCTGCGCGTAAGAGACCCTCGCGGCGTTCCTGCTGGAGCAGCAGCAGCAGCAGCAGCAGCAGCAGCAGCAGCAAACTGGCTACTGCAGCGGGAAGTCCCCTGATAGAGGCAAGGTGAGGACGCCCGGATGCTTGTTGCTGCTGGCGTTGCTGCTGCTGCTGCTGCTGCTGCTGCTGCTGCTGCTGCTGAGGCTTCTTTTGGTGCGAGATATCCCGTGGCTCGTGGGACTTTGGAAAAGCTACAACGGGTTGCTGCTGCTGCTGTTGCTGCTGCTGCTACCTGGGGAGCCGGGTACTTAGCCGCGCCCCACGTGTTGTTGCTGCTGCTGCTGCTGCTGCTGGTGCGCCGCAGTGTGCTGCTCGCTGCTGCTGCTGCTGCACTGATGGGGCTGACAGGTGACCTGCTTCGCAGCGCGCTGTCCCCACTCTGCTGCTGCAGCTGCTGCAGCTGCTGCAGCTGCTGCAGCTGCTGCTGGCGGCGGAGATGCCGCTGCATGCTGCTTGGGGCTTGAAAAGAAGCAGCAGGAGGAACTGGCTCTACTGCTGCTGCTGCTGCTGCTGCTGCTGCTGCTGTGTGAGGAGCTGCAGCTGGTGCTGCAGCAGCCGTTGGTGCTTCCCTTGTTCTGCACTCGCGAGCCAAACGATGAATGCGCTGTTGCTGCTGCTGCTGCTGCTGCTGCTGCTGCAGCAAGGACGAGTCTGCTGCTGCAGACGTGGGCGAGGCCCTCTGCCATCTTTCCTGTTCAGCAGCAGCCCTCTGGCGCTGCAGCTGCAGCAGCAGCTGCTGTTGCTGCTGTCGCAGTTCCTGCTGTTGCCTCTGCAGCAGCAGCTGCTGCTGCTTTAGCTGCTGCTGTTGCTGTTCTTGCTGCAAGTCCAACTGTTGCTGCTGCCGCTGCTGCTGCTGCAACAGAAGCAGCTCACTCTGCCTCTGGGTGCGTCTGGCGAAGGGCAAAAACGAACTCCGAGGCGCTGCTGCTGCTGCTGTTCCTGCTGCTGCTGCTGCTGCTGCTGCTGCTGCTGTTGGTTCTACGGAGCAGGTGGGCTCTTCTGCTGCTTCCAGGCCTGGCCTGTAGATCGCAGAGCCGCTTCTACTGGGGCGGCCTGCAGCGCCTACCTGCTGCAGCTGCTGCTGCTGCTGCAGCTGCTGTTGCTGCTGCAGCTGCTGCTGCAGCTGCTGCTGCCACAGCTGCTGTTGCTGCTGCTGCAGGGAAAACGGGGCGTGGGGCCCCTCCGTGTGCAGCTGTGGGGCCCCAAAAGAGGGTCTGCGCAGAACAGCCCCGCTGAAGGCAGCAGCAGGGCGTTGCTGCAGCAGGGGCGGGTGGGCCTTTAGCTCTTCCTGCTGCTGCTGCTGCTGCTGCTGCTGCTGCTGCAGTTTGCTGCTGCAGTCCTGGTACTGGCTTGTCTGGGGGTCTTCGTTTTCGTCTTCTTCTGCGATGGTGGAGAGCGGCGCGTGTCTGCCTGTGTGCTGCTGCTGCAGCTGCTGCATGTCCGCGCACCCGCTGCTGCTGCTGCTGCTGCTGCTGCTGCTGCTGCTGCTGCAGTGGGGTGGCAAGGCGCGGTGGTCTGCTGCTGCCAGCGGGCGGAAAATCGAAAAGCCCATACACTCCAGGGCCGAGGGCCTGCGGGCGGGGTCGTGCTGCAGCAGCGCGGCGACCAGGTTGTTGAAGGCGCGGGAGAACCTGCAGCAGCAGCAGCAGCAGCAGCAGCAGCAGCAGCAGCAGCCCTTGTCCACAACGCCCCGAGCGCCC